GAAAACCTTTTGTGATTGCTGCACAATTGGTTTTTTTGATCGTTGTATCCTGGAGGTGATTGTCCACAGAGGTCGCAGCAGTTATCGACGGGCAATTTGGCTTTAGGACATCGTGCTGTCACGAGACTCGATCTATTGATAAGTTTTTCTGCACTTTACTGTTATTTTATCCAACAAAAATAAACCCTCAAAACAGAAAATTGAAAATGAACTCAAAATTCAAAATTGAATACTGAAACATAAACCAGAAGGGTCCGAAACTTCTACTGCCATTGGCATTGCAAAGTTATCTGCCTTTACGATTAAAATAGTGCCTTGGGTCAATTTTTGAGCTTTTACAGTTTTTTACTGTAGCATGTGATGTTTTATTTTTATAGCATCTAGATTTCGTGGCATGAATTATATTCATTTAGTCATTAAAGTGGTAGAAAATAAAATATTTTAGTTGAAAAGATGATAATTATACACTCATTTTTAATAAAATAAAATGTTTTAAGTAAAAAAGAGAGAATATAATTAAAAATTAATAAATTTTATTTTCGATCATATAATTTATGAGATTCACAACTTTTATAAATTTTTCAATTACTTATTTTATCAATTTTTAATAAAATTTACTAAAAATCTAATTGTGATCCAAATTTAATAGAGATTTGGTCTCTCCCAACCCACGCTGCATTGGAATCCATAGCTTGGGCAGAACGGGAGAGTCAAAAGTATTTTATTCAAGAATCATGCTCCACGTACAGAAGCATGATTCACATGAAAAAAAAAAAAAAAAAAAACAAATACTCACAACAGGTGGAGGGGGTGGGTTTTGTTTTCCAATATTTTACTGACATGGGCTGGGCCCATGTGAGTAATCTGTTGGTTTTTTGACAAATCCATTTCTGTTGGCCCATGTTGTTCGATTAGACTTTTGATAGAAGCTCTACAAGATTATGATAAAAAGAAAAATTATATTATGTGGTTAAAAAATTAATAGAAGGTCAAGGGGCAAAATTTTGTCAAAGAAGCACTAGATTTTTATTAATCCACATCAATCAGTTAACATCACAATTTTCGCAATGCAAACGCATTCTAAGAACAATTAATAATTAATAATTATGTCTTTCATCACTCTAAGTAACAGTAGATCTAGACTAATGATCATCATTTCTAATAATATAAAGTAATGATATTTTTAGTTAGTAGAAATAATCATCAATTTGATTTAGGTTTTGTCTGGCCAA